AGGCTATCCTCCCGTCAACCCCACTGAGCACCTACCTCCCCTTCACCTCTGGTAGGCCCCTCACCTCCAAGCCCCCATAGGGCTTCATTCTCCCACCCAACCCTTGTGCCCAGTTTGTTTTCTGAATAGCAGGTTTTCACTAAATTCAGCCAAGCTCTGAAGCATATCCACTGAAAACAGCTCCCCTCGGCCCGGCCTGCCTGCCCCGCTTCTCCCTTCTGGATTGCTTTGTGCAGGTGTGGCCAAGCACACATCTTCACCTATGCCCCCTGCCCATCCAGGTGTGTGCAGGGCAGTAGCTCTTTCCTGTGTGGTCACCAGCTTTACTCCAGTAGCCCACACGGGCGAGCCTCCCTGTCAAAGGTGGATCAGCTGCAACTCAGGGTCTCAGGACGGTGCTGCACTGTGGGCAAGGTTTGTGTGCCCTGCACTGTCTCTGCCCAAGCCGAGAACAGGGTGGCTGCTGGTGACTCAAGCAGCCGAGATGTGAGTGCCTGGCAGGAACTTGGCATGTCCACACTGGCAATGGTGGAGCCAGGAGGGACACAACACCCAGGTGGGCCTGGACTGTCCACTCAATGCCCCATGGCACTGCCATACTCGGGCCTCCATACTGGGCACTGCCAACTGACATAGATGCCCTTCCATCCACTGACTGAGGCTGCACTTTCCTACCTCCCTGTTGTAAGCTAACCATGATGTCAGACCTCGTCTGTCTGCCGCCAGCAGTCCTGATGCGGCCCATCCAGGCCTCACTGGCCACACGGAACTCAGACCAGACGCGTGGGCAGAGGTCTCATATCCGGGATGCTGCAGGTTACCTTCATGGTCAAGACTGAACTCCCCTCTTCTGGTGGAGTGAGCCAGCCAGCAGGCCAGCCTCAGGCCTCTGGCCCAGAGGAGGGTGCTAGTTCTTCTCCTGCCAGGAAGCACTCAGCTTCCCCTGGCTGGTGGGCCACCTTGTACAGGTTCTTGTCGCTCTGGCTGGCTTGGACCAGCTCTGTGCTCTCACAGTGTCACAGCTCTGTCTCAGGTCGAGCATGTTCTTGGTGCAACGACCCCAGGTGCACACGATTTGCTCCCTTCCCAGTCTTTTTGAAGATAGTGCCTTCTCCTCCAACCTCTGAAGTTAACCTTTATAAGCCTGACAGGTCATTAAAAGTTACCAGTCATCTTGGTAGGCCACAGCCACCTCATTTACATAGTAAGGTGTCTGGTCCCTTTGCCAGACACCATCCTAGCAGAACCAGCAGCCCAGAGCTGCAGCATGCATGAGGTCAGCTGCATCCATTTCCCATTAAGGCGGCATTTGCCCACAATGGAAAGCTTGTGTTTCACCCAACACTCACAGGGCCATCCCTCAGGATCCTGGGCAGCCCATCACTCCCAGCCCCTGTTGTTAGAGCCCTGGCCCAGCACCCTGTGGACCCCTAGCACCAGTGTGCATGTGCGAATGCCAAATGCCCGGGGGGTGTCTGCATGTGCCCCCGAGTGTGAGTGTGCACATGGTGTGGGTGTACATGTCCCTGTCAGGGTGAGTGCATGTTCCTGTGTGAGTGTGCATGTGGGTGGCTGTGCATACCTCATCTGGGTGTGTGTACATGGTGGATGTGTCTGTCTGCAATGTAGGTGTCCTGTCTGGATCCCATTTGCCCCTTGCCCTCATACTGCTGTCTGCTGACAGACTGACCGTCCTTCCATGTCTGTGTGATAGGCTCACTGCTCTGTTCTACTGTGGCCTGTGTGCAGCCTGAGTGGGGGGACATGGGATACGTCCCACCCTCTGCCCTGCCTGCCTGTCTTTGAGACTTGTGTTTGTGGACCTCACTGAATTTATGCATTTGGGAACCACCCGGGGCCGTGAGTGCCACTCGGGGGTGTCCAGCTATGTCCCATGTTGAGTCTTGTGGGTGTCTGGGCAGCACCATTGCTGTGGCTGGAGTCATGGGAGGACACTGGCTGTGCAGACCTCCTCTGCCTAACCTGGGGGCGTGAGGATGGCCAGCGTGGCTAGACTGCCAGCGCATTTGAAGGGCCCCACTCTGGGGTGCAGTGCTGTTCTAGGGGCTGCCCTTCCCAGGCCCAGAGGTGCCATCACAGGGTGGGTGGCAGGTGGTCTGGGAAAAAGCACAGATGGGCAGAGAGCCAGAGGTAAGGGAAGGGGTGAGATTCTGGGTTGGTGGCCGCCTATGAGTGAGGCAGTGGGGTTGGGGGGCTCCGTGGGCAGAGCAGCTCAGGCCACAGGTTGTAGCCCTCCCAGCATGTGCATCCTGCTTAACACCTTAAACTTACACTCTCAACTGTCCCCGAGGCCTTTGGAAGAAAGGTCTGGCAGTCTTTTGGAAAGTTGGGCTGTGAGGACCACTTGGGGACCCCGTGAGGCCCAGATCTGCTTTGCACACACAGGCTGGCTGACTCTCCACCTTGAATATGATAGTGGTGCCAGGGTGGGTATGCATGAGTGTGCCTGTATCTGTGGGTATGTGTGCGAGTGTGGATGTAGCAGTGGAGGTGTGTATGTGCATGCATGAGCATGTGAGTGTGCTTGGCTGTGTATACAGGTGAGAGTGGCTGTGTGTGAATGTGCTGTGTGCCTTAGCTGTATGGGAATGGATGTGTGTGAGTGTGTGTGCTTATGTGTTTAAGAGTGAGTATGAATGTGGGAGTGGATGTGTGTGGTATGAGTGTGTGCTTATGTGGGGGGGTGCATGAGTGTGTATGTGGCTGTGTGTGAATATGGGTGTGGATGTGCGTGAGTGAGTGTGCTTTGTGTGAATAAGAATGTGTGGGAGTGCACGAGTGTGTGCATTTTTGCATGGCTGTGTGAATATGGGAGTGGGTGTGCATTTGTGTGCTTATGTGTTTAAGTGTGAATACGAATGTGTGGGTGTGCATACATGTGTGAGTGTGGTGGCTTCTTAGAACTGCCATTTTCCCTCCTGTACATTTCACAGCACCAGTTTACTTTGGGACACTCTCCAGGGGAGGCCAACGTGATAAGGATGGCTTCACCCAGGCCCCAGTTGAGTGGTCCCTTCCCTTTGGCTTCTGTCCGATCTCTATGTAGCTGAGTCCCCTCATCTGTGTCCCTTGCTCCTCGGGGTTAGTGTGGCTGCTGGCTCCTCTTGGGAGCCTGAGGGCACCATGTTCCTTCATGGTTCCAGAGCCCAATGAGCCATTGCTAGTTCTTGGAACAGAGAGTCTGGGGGCACCCTCACCACTCAAGCCTAGAATTGGCCTGATACCCACAGGCAGTCAGGACCAGATATCCTGAGTTTAGAAATGCCCCCCAGCACCGTGACTGGGGTGGGGCTAGCCAGCATTCGTGCAGAGGAGGGTGGATGTGGCCCCTACAAACTCCACAGGGCTCAGCAGTGGGGAGATGGGTGTTGGAACCGGGAAGTGAATTGAGGCTGCAGAAACAGGCCTGTGGGAAAGTGTTTCTGCGTTCAAATGCTCGTGTTTCTGACCATGTCTCTTGGAGATGTCATCTGATCCCTTGGTGGGTTCTAGATGAGACTTGGGCCCGGCCCAGCGTCCCCTTGCCATCTCCTTGCCCATTGTTGGACCCTTGGGCAGCCACAGTCATGCTGGTTGTTCATCTCACCTGCAGAATCAGGGACAGGTGTTGTCAGAGATGAGTCCATGCAGGTCAGAAGGGTTACAGGTTCAACTCCTGGGAAAGTCTGTGGCCTTGTCGATATTCTGATGCAGGCTTATGGTTTATCTCAGAGTCTTTAGCAAGGCTGACACCTTTCTGAAGGTGTGTGTGTGTGTGTGTGTGCGCGTGTGCGTGCGTGTGTCTGTGTGTGTGTGTATATATGCATATGGGGTCTTTGTACCCAGCCCTTCCTGACCCTGTCTTCTCCTGTCCTGGCCCACTGCCCCTCAGTTGGACAGGGACAGGCCTTTAACAAAGGCCACCAAGCAGAGATAGGAAATCTGGGACAACTGCCTCTGCCAACAGGCTTGAATCCCTGGCTGAGGGGGGTCTCCCCACATCAGAGGTGCCAGACTACACAGAATCAGGCCAATGAGTCTGCAGGAGGCTCCACACCTCGTCTCTGACTCATCATTGCCTATGATCAGCTGCCGCTTCTACTGGTCCCCGCCCAGGATCCCAGGGAGGGCCACTCCTGGCTCTGCTTCATGCTAACATGTGTGCAATGCTCTGTGCTGGACTGGGGTCACAGGGGCAGGGATGGAAAGGGTCCATGCCCAGGTGTCCCCTGAGAGGTAGCAGGTCCCCAGAAAGAGCGATGGCTTCAGAATTGGGCTTCACTCTTGTTCTTGGATTGGGCATTTTGGGAAACTTGCTCATTTCCCTCTCTACCATATTCAGGTTTCAGTGAGTCTACCGCTTATCTCTGATCCATCCATCTCCCTTTAGCTTTAATCCATCTGTTCCCCTGCACAGAAGTCACTTTCCCAGATATAAGACCCTCCCCCAAAGACGTGAAACTCCCTCAGCTGAGATGCCCACTCAGATGGGCCACCCTCCAGGTATGTGCAGTCCAGGAGCAGAAGGCCCAGAGCTACCCACGTGAGCCTGGCGCAGCTCCATCATGGTGTTGCTACTGGGGTGACAAGCCTTTTGATGGTGTCACTAGTGGGATACGCTGGCGTCTCACAGGGGTGTCACTAGTGAGGTAACAAGAGTCTCCCAGTGGTGCCGTTAGCAGGTTCCATGTATTTGTGGCCAAGCTGAGGCTCTCACACTAAGCAGCTCTGTCCTTTCTCCCCCTGCAGAAGGACATGGCCCTAAAGCCACACGAGCGGAAGGAAAAATGGGAACGCCGCCTCATCAAGAAGCCCCGGGAGCCAGAAAACTGCCCCTCAGCAGAGCTCAGTGAGAACGGGCGGCCCCTGGAGGCAGGCAGCCCAGAGCAGGACTTGGAACCTGCCTGCGACCGGGGCAAGAAGGTTCCACTACAGCCCACCAAGCAGGTGAGTCCTAGTCTCAGCCTGAGACCCCCTCCCCTGGGCACACACGACCCCCTCCTTGGGCACTCGGGTTTTGCATACTCCCTGGGGGCACCTTCGGGGCCAGCATCAGCACCTGGACACCAACCGTGGGCATCTGGGCCTGCCTGGCAATGTGTGCCATCGTTGTTGGGCTCAGGGTGCAAGGCACATGGGGCTGGGGGCCAGAACAGAGTCAGGGCCAGTGCGGGAGGGGTAGCTGCTGCCCAGGGCCACACTGTGCAGAGGCTGTGCCAGGCTGGCTAGATGGGCGGAAGCCCTGTATACTGTGTCCTCTGCTGGGGGTGCACTGTGTGGTGCGTGCTTAGCCTAGGGGAGCAGCGACAACACCAGGGTGATAGGCCGGCCCCGTCTCCCTGCTGCGTCTGTCAGGTTCCGCCGAGTACAGGGTGTCCAGTGTGTCTGTAAAGGCGGGGAGTGGGGTTGGGGGGGGCGGGGAGGCAGCACGTGTCTGAGGTACCATTGGCTCACCCTGTCTGAGACAGTGTCTGTGTGTGAGGTGGGTGGAGCTCTTATGCTGTTTCTCGGACCACCTGACTTGTGGTTGTCTGCCCAGGTGCC